ATGGAAACAGAATGACCTGCAAACCTCACTGATGCTCTTATCTCTGAAGATGCTATTGCACACGCAATCTTCAACAGGTCCTGACCAGCCCTCAGGACATCGGTGAAGCATTGGGGTCTGTCCTCCCTCTGGGGGGTTTAGCTGAACCCCATTTTCAAGAACAATCTGAAATTGGAGAACGTGGAAATTTGTGGTCTGACCTCAAAGCCAAATACGGATTCACAAGGTTCTCCTTTCATCTCCAGATGAAAACTTTGGGAAATCATACCTCTCCTGAATTGCAGTTGTCTTCTGAATGGTACACTTGGCAAGTTCATAATCAGAAACAACAAAGTTATTTGGGGAACTCAGACAATAAGAAGGGCTGTAAGGACATTGTCTTAAATCTGAGAGTCAACAAATGCCCTGAGCAGCGCAGCTCCTCCCAAACAAACCAACTTCATAACCATCAGCACTGACCACCCAGAAGAGGGCCTTCTTTGTTCCCTTCAATGCTTGAGAGATGCCTGTTGTGTTGTGATTTGCTTGGGCAGTCCTTTAGAAGCTAAGTCCGAGGAAGGCAGTAATTCCATACATCATAGTCTTCAAATTCCCAGGTTCTTTCTCAGGGAAGCGCTTACCCACCCAGCTGCAGGGAATGTGAGCAGCAGATGGCCTCCTGCTTTCTGGTTCTCAGGGTCTCATCCTGGAGCATGGCCTTCTAGGGCAGCCTGCCTCCAGGGACTGAGCCAGGCAGGAGGCTCACTCCATTGCTCCTCCCCAGGTTGTCTACACTGGATCACAACTAGCCTCCTTTCTCTGCCCTTTCTGCTTTCTGCCCTCTTCCTTTCATCACCATTATTCTAATTGGATGAGCTTCCTGCCTCTACCCTGTCTTCATTGACTGTTTCTGAAGAACAGGGTCCATGACAGATTATTTCTCATTGGCCTTTCTTCTTGTTCCAACTTACCAAAACTCAACCCCCCCCCAAAAAAAAAAACAAAACAAATTTTGGAACTGTGCTACTTAGCACACTTTTAGGGGCTGGGCTTCACTATTTAATGAGATAAAGGAAATATGTATTATATATATATTTTTTCCTGTATTTCATACATGGCACACAGAAGCAATGACTACTATTGAAAAGATCTTTCCTCTTTGAAAACTAAATTACACCTTGCCTACAAAATTCCATATATATTCTATACTCAGCACGTGTTCATTCAGTATTATTGATTATTGAGTAGCTTTCACACACCAGGAACAGGTTTTTAAAAAGGCAGTAATGAGCTCCTGCTGTAGAGGAGTGTGCATTCTGGAGATAAGACAGATAAGAAACAGGTCAGTAATTACCATAATAGAATACTGGGTCTTTAAAAAAAAAAAAAAAAAGGCAGGGTGAGTGGATAGAGGATGATGCTAGAAGCATCCACTGTTTTAAAGCCAAAGGTAAAGACGACTTCCTTTCACCCATACTTCCTTAGGTTTGCACTCACATGCCTATTCAGTGCATTGATTTTCTTGATGGGACATAGACCAGCAACCTTACTGAAAGGATATTTCTACTGTGTTGTGAGCCCACCTGCTACATTAAACCTAAGCTCTTAAATCTATATTACTAACCTACACAGCAAATCTGTCTTGGGGAAAGAACAATCTAAGCCATTAGAAGCTGGAGTTAGTCACAGCTGTCCCAGGCAGATGGCTTTAGTGGGCAATATGATAAGCCTGCCAGGTTTCTCAAAATATGAAAGGCTTTTTCTGTCTCATTAGTACTTCATGGTTGACCATCCACAAACACCTGGTGTTCAGACTTCTTCCCAGGAAAATGTCACCTGGTTTTAATTCCAAAGGATATATATTATGTAATCTTTGCCAAATGAGCTAATATTTAAATAATTTATAAGCACACACATAGATGAAAAACCCTTCTTCATATAGCCCAATTTTAGTGACAAATTAAATTAATGGTAGAAGCAAATTAAGCTACTTTTGTACTTCTCAACATTCAAATTATTTGTTCAAAGGGAATTCCTCCACCAACTATTTACCCCATCAACAGACATCAACACAAATGAGTTTCTAAGAATAACTGTGGAGTCATCTCTACTTTGTTTGCCTTATTTTAGAAGAAAGTGTCCTCACCATCTCCGACACATACAACAAATGAATACAAGCATCACACTCTACTTGCTCCAAGTAAGAAGCACATCATATTCAAACTTTGTCAAGCCTGTAATAAGGTGGGAGGGGGGAAAGACTTGGACTTTGTAGGAATATTTTAAACTTAGGTAGTATAATTTATTAACTTTTAAATTTAAATACCTTGAGGTTGTAAAAGTTAAAGGTTATATTTGTAAAAATAAGATAATGCTACAAAAATATATGAAAAGAGTGGAAAGTATTTTAAAATAACTTGAATACTAAAAAGTGACCTGAAAATGTAAGGTATAAATAACTTGAGTTTATTTATTTGGACATAAAATTTAAAACATTCTTTACATAATCTTAACAAATCAATAAAAATACCTTCATTTAGGGGGAAATGAGGGGCTTTAATTAGGGAGGGGGAGGGAAGTCAAAACAAGAGAAAGGGAGGAAGGGATATAACACAAAGAATGTTTGGGAGGGAAGAAACCAATTGTCCCATCAAGCCGTGAAGCCTGTGAATCACAACAATGACCAACACAGCAAGATAACCCTAAGGGTGCAATAATGGCACTCATATCTAGGCAGTAACCAACAGCTCTCTAGTTGGATTTAAGGTCCATCCATTCAAGGTCAGGAAGGAAATCATGCCTGGTACTGGAAACCTAACAAACACCCTGGGGCTAGTGAAGTCATTGGTTTTAGAGGAGAACCCACTACCACCACTTTATTAAACCAGCATACATTCTAACTGCATTTTAAAGTATTTATCCTCATACCCACAGATGAATGTAGCTCCCAACCCTCACTAAAGAAACGTCTCTTTACAATGGACAGAGGCCATTACAGAAAACCACTACCAATCAAAATCAGAGAAGAACTGACCACAGAGCACCAGGCCCTGTGGACACATCTACATTACTCCTGCACTCCAGGCTGAGGGAGTCCTGCCGAAGAGGAGGCACATAGACCGTTCGAGCCAGTGGGCCAGGAAATCTGTTGTGAAATTCTGTTTTCTAGAAATGACAGGGAAGCTTCATCCATGACATGTCAACAATATGGCTACCTAAACAAGACCCAACAAGGACAATGCTGATAGATATGCTAAGACAGGAGGGGAAACTCAAAGGCCTCTGCCCTAGGCAAAGAGCTACAAGGGAGCCAGGTGTTGGAATCCCAGCACTTGGGAGGCAGAGGCAGGATCTCTGTGAGTTTGAGGGCAACCTGGTCTCCAGAGCGAGTGCCAGCTACACAGAGAAACCCTGTCTCGAAAAACCAAAAAAAAAAAAAAAAAAAAAAAAAAAAAAAAAAACCTACAGGGAAGGCTAAGGGATACTGAGAGCAGGAGAAGTTTTCCCCCAGGAGGAGCCCCCTAACTGGTTATTCTATACTAAGTGATCATCCCTGAAAATACTTCATATAAAAGCAACACTTACTGACTCAGAAGGTTGTGTTTATGCTTATGCATGTGTGTGTGTTACAATAACAATTAGAAAAAGAGGAGACCAGAGATTTTCGAGGGAGAAAAGGAGGCCAGGTGTGGGAGGAGATTGAGGAAGGGAAGTAAATGGAGGTAAATAGCATGATTATGTTTTAACTGAAAAATTAAAAATAAGTTAAAATGTTTATTTATTGAAAAAGTGTTTATTTAGCACTTTGTGTTTTATATCACCAGAAATATGAAAACGGTTAATTATCTGTGTCATGAAGGAACTTACAAATCAGACATGTGAGAACATGGGAAAGACTGATAATGCTTTTAACTAGCATGTGATGAACATTTTCCATGTGATAGATGCTATTCTTATAATGCTTTGCATATAACTCCTTTAATCATAGAAATTTTATGAACAGGTTAACATTTCTCAAGAAGCTTGGAAACTTGCCCGAGGTTAGAATCCTAGTAAAGTACATTCAAGCTATACACTTGGCACGAAAGCCACAGTATTACATTCCACTTCAAGTTGGGACACACACACAGGCACATATACAAGCGTGCACACGCACAAGCACACACACAGGTGATAACGACTGGAAATCAATACTAAGGCGGTAAATAGTAAGTAATAACAAAACATCTTGGGTAGCTTGAGTAGTTTTCATATGAAACAAAAACTAGATCCAAACTTGCTTTGAGGATTCAGACATGAAAATAATGGGCAAATAAGAATATATTGCATACATACTCTTTTGAGGGTGCATAGATACATACTTTATTGAAATATACATATAAAATGCAAGAAGGCCACAAGTACATTTAAAATAGCTCATTGGCAGTAAGTATACTCTCAGAGACTATATTTATTTTGTAATCAAAACAGAGGGAAAGAACTGTCTTAAAGCAATGCCTGACTATGTAATAGAATGTATTTTACTTCATAGAAATATAATTTAAGTATTTTCCTACAAACAAATTTCATTCATTCCTGATCTGTTTCAATGGATAATATTTTGAAAGAACAACTTTCAACTTTTCATAATTACAATGCCATCTGGCAAATACATTTCCAGTTTGCCCTAGAAGCACTATGTTGGCTTCCATGAGCAGGAGGCAGCCTTATTCACCCTTCTGGATTTTTATGTTTGTTATAATTGTATATATATTTATACATATGTATAATATGTATATATACATATGCTGTATATATATGTCTCTATATATGTGTGTATGCATGTATATATTATATAATTTTCCTATATATAACATGATATATATATATATATATCATTTTATATATAGGAAAAGAATTTTCAAAACAGCTTTGCAAGAAGCACACAAAGTAATGTCTGGCAAATGGCTTCTTCTTATTAGATTTCCAGTAAAACATATACTGATTGCTTGGTAATTCCTTGTTTAGGCAATGACACTTACCAAGCGATAGGTCTGGGCCTTTAAAACGTTGAGATCAATGAAGTTTTCTTCATTATCTGTCTCCTCTTCCTTTGAAAAATAAAAATATTTTAAATTTACAAAAACTTTAATACCTATTTGTAAACATAATACATAATATTCTAAGCAATGCTAAGCTTAATATGACTGACTCAGTAAAGCATATTTAAAAGCCTAGTAAATATGCATAAAGTAGGGCACACAATTATTAACAGCTCATATGTTCTTTGAAGTTTTGATGGCGCCATTTATAAGGACCTGTTTTTGTAGACACTGAAGAAAGGAGGGAAAAAAAGAGGGAGGGGTAGGAGTAATTGCTACAATTCATGAATAAACATAAAAACAAGAGAAAATTAGGCCCAAGTGACATACATGAAATAGTGGAGCAAGTTTATGGGAATTCTGAGCAATAAGACTTAAATGAAAAAAAAAATGAAGGCTGAAAGATACAAGCAGTTTTCTTTGTTCCAGGGACTAACTACATGGAGATGCAGTTGAAAAAAAATATTTACAGGTTTGTGTCTTTGTCTGTATCTGTGCATGCTACATGTGTGATGGGGCTCACAGCAGATAGGAGAAGGTTGGACGCTGGGTCTTTGGGAAGAGCAGCAAGTTTTTAACCACTGGGCCATCTCTCTAGCACTGAAGATGCACTTTTCACACTGCGTATGAAAAGCATCCAAGGAGCTCCAGCTTAAGGTAATGAATAATAGTAATGCATGCTGTATGGCCCTCACAGCCATTTAAAAACAATCCAGAGGGATTCCAAGTTGGCCTCATCTGAAAGCAGTTGATTGTAGGGGTGTGGGTAGGAAATGACCCTTTGAGATGCAACCTGCTCTATAGACAGAAAGTAAGCAGGAGGGTCTATTAACATATAAGACAACATGAGCTTCTCCCCTTCAAATGTCATAGTGGTGACAAGTGGTCTAGTCGGTGAAAGTCATCTAACAAGAATATCTCAATCTTATGGACATCGGACAACATAATAATGCCAACAAAATCTCGTCCTGAGTCATGTGATCTAGTAAACAAAAACACAAACAAACTAGGCAAAAAAAGTGAGTGTCAGCCAGCAAACATTTCTTCAAGCAGGATTGTTCAAAGCTGTGGTGGGAGATTTCAAAGAGAGCCCTTACCTTCAGACTTGACATGTGTAAGCCAGTGGTTCTCAAAATGTGGTTCTGGAACAGTAACATTAGTATCGCTTGGGAACTTTTGGGAATGAAATTTGAAGGTTCTATCCCAGATCTGTCCCCCTAAAGTACGACTTGAGAACTATGCCCCAAGCCTTGGAGAACTGGAAAGAATCCAGCAACATAGAAGACAGTATAGACACACTTGACACACTGGCTTGACATTTGTTTTTCTTGAGGTGGGAAATAGTGGGGGCACAGATGCACAGGCAAAACTGATTTGTTTAGATATTAAGTCAAGTCAATATTTACACAACTGAAAAGTGACTTAGGAGTATTTTGTGTTTGTACTACTTAACAAGCAGGGTAATTCACGGAGATGCCAATGATTCAGTGTTGTTAGGAGAAACAAGGTCACAGTACTTTACCATGACCTCATCAGCACTGTTTACAGAGGTGATCAGCAGATACTTGTACTCCATTGAACACTAACATGATGAAGTGACAAAGCTTTAATACTAGATACTAGCAGAAGCCATCATCCAGCATATGGTACTGTTTCTCTTACAGCCAAAATTCACAGGCTCAGGAATTAAGGAGTGCAAATGTGTGGCACCATAACTTCTAATTAGCCACTAGGAAAATCTTTGCTTCTGGTTCCTGTGGTTAGAGACCAGCCTGGGCCACATAGTAAGTGTTCTAGGCCACTCTGGGCACAGTGAGATTCAGTCTTAGGGGTTAAAAAAGTAGCGAAGTCATGTAGAGTTATATATTTTAATATGGTTAAAAGTACTCTCTATACTTCTAATAAAATATACATTAAAAAGCTTCAAAATAGTCATCCATAACTATCCATTTATAACAAATATTAATATACAAGCATCTTTACATATTTACTGTCATGATGACAGCTAATTTTGTAAAATAAAGTATATTTTGTCTTTCTCATATTACTAATGTCTATAATTAAGTCATATCTATATAATATGTTTAGGTACAACCCAATTTATTTAATGATTATTTATTAACTTTTACTATTAAGATAATCCAACAATTTTATAGCTTATACTAGCTTATTTAAGCTGAAATATGAAATGGATTATCTACAGATTTAAAAAAAATCAATTGGTTTGGGACAACAAAATACTACATAAGTTCTTCCCCCCACCACATATCTAATTCAGATTATGTGGATATATTTTAAAACACTCAGTTCAGCCTGCTTCCCATTCTAAGAAAGAATCACTTGAGAAATGCTCTTTGGTTTCTATTGTCTTACTAGCTCAATTATTGCAGAGAACTGATTATTTAGCTTTGTACCATGGAGAGGAAAATAAACATGAAAAAATATGTATATGGAGCCCAACAACTTAAATAATATTGGCCACTTAAAAGCATATTAACAGTCGGGTGTTGGTGGTGCATGCCTTTAATCCCAGCACTTGGAAGGCAGAGGCAGGCCGATCTCTGTGAGTTCAAGACCAGCCTGGTCTACAAGAGCTAGTTCCAGAACAGCCTCTAAAATAATAAAGAGAAACCCTGTCTCGAGAAAAAAAAAAAAAAAAAAAAAGCATCTTAACAAAGTTTCAGCAGGGCAGTTTTCATCCTAGTTGAGGAAAATAAAGGAATTCCTTTAAAACAAATAGTATTTGTAGGAAGCACAATGCTCTAATTATAAATCCTTAGGGCATTCTGAAAATACTGTGTTTTGTTACCATATCACCCTGCTATGTTGCTGTGCAGCCCACACTGGCCTTGGATTGGGGACTCTCTAGCCTCTGCCACCTAAAATCTGGGATCACAGGTGGGTACCACCACATTCAGCCAAACATGAACTGAGGATTAGCTTTCTGTTCTAAATTCTTTGTTAGTTATGATTTCTCAAGATTCTGCTTGGTTGTTAATAAAACATTATTCATATAACTGGTGATATACTTATATACAGATGTGTGTCTATGCATGTATGTGTACATATGTACAAATATAAACAGATTTAGAACCTCTTCTAAAGTCCATAAACATTAACTTAAGCAAAGGCCTAAAGGACTGACAATGGCACTGAGCTTAGAAACAATTAAAAATACATTCCAGAAAAATGGAGTAGGGGAATCAGGAGAGGCAAAGGGAGGTAAGGGCTGGAGGCAGCTCAGCTCCATGCTTACCACAAATTCTTCATCCACTTTACTCAATGTTAATTCTGCATCATCTTCCGGGACAGTTTCTTCTTCTAATTCTTCCACTGGATATGATGGCCTGAAATGCCAAGATTTATTTCATGTTTAAAAAAAGTTCACTGAGAATAAAAGTCTAATGAGGAATGGTAAGGACAATTCCATATGAGCCCATGTTCCCTTCATTATTTGCCAGTCAATGTTTTGTTTCTTTCTGCAATTTTCAATGTTAAAAAAAAAACAAAGACACCTACCTCTAAACATAAAAAGCACATTTACAAAAATAGATATCGTATATACTGCTCTCACATACATTCATACACGCAATATATATACTGTTAGCTATCATGTACATAGACACACTATAAATGCATACTATATAATGTATATACATATTATATGTAACATATAATATAATGTGCATTATGTTCCAATCAACAGCAGTACTAAAATTAAAGTGCCCGTCCATGACAAAACATCAGGGTTGTTTCTATTGTTTGCTAGATAACACTGCAAAATCATATTTGTATATTTATTACTAGACAGATTTTAAAAATAGATTTGCCCATGTGGAATGGCTATATCAACAACTTTGTGCATGTTATTGTTTTGCTGAGTACTGCCAAAACTGGCTTATAAAATGCTATCCTAATTCATACTCCCAAGAATAGTAAGGGATGGCATCTCTGTTTCAATATGTTCACCAATATGTGTAAAATAATCTGTGCCAATAAAACAAGTAAAAATATCCTTGTGTTTTTGTAACTGAAGTTCTTCAGCATGAAAGTGATTGAACAACTTTATATATTTTAATTGATTACTCATTTTTTCAGTGAAACACACATTTACACTCTTTGTCTTTTGTAAACTAAGGAAATTAATGTTCGCCTAATCTACAATGTTCCCCAGTTTCATTACTTAGAATCATGTATAGTCAAGACTGTTATAATTCTTAGGATAGATTTAGCAACTTTTTCCCATCTAGACCCTAGATTTAATGTAAAAGCATATACTTGAGCCACACCTCCCTAGACCTCTCTGATCTTTTAGTATACCTATAGCTCTATTTTACAATTCACATTACTGAAATCCACAGTTCATTTTCATATAGGTAACAAGCTTGATTCTTACTTACAAAATCCAATTAGTGTTTCCAACATTAAGTATTGGACACCATTTCTCCCCTAAAATCTACTTATTTACACATTAAAAATTCCCAGATGTATCTGCATTTATTTTTGACAACTAATTTTAAGAATCTGTATTTCAAACCTGTTAAGACAATATAAAAATTAACATGTAACAAGGAAGAAGGAAAGTATTATGAACCAAATCAATTTTGCATGATAAATTTCCCTTTTTTTCAATAGTTAGAATTAAATAATTATCTCAAAATATAATGTTCTTCTAAGAATGGTTTGACATGTGTATAAAATAATCATTTATAAGTAAGAAAGTTCTGTGTAATTTATGTATTACATAGGTGGTATAGTTTCCAATGTTTATTATGTTTTAACTTTCTCCTTTCTTCTTCCATGTATATACAATTCCTACAAATTATCCAAGTCATAACTCATAGGCCAAGACAAAGATTTTCCTAGAAAGGAAGGAATTACAAGTTGAATAGTGGTTGAGACAGTCATAGCTTGGCACACAATATGACACCCTGGGTTAGCTATGGAGTTACTAACTAAACTAGGGCAGCACATCATGTAATTTATCTTTTCTTGAAATCTAACCAGCAGTATTAGGAATTACAGAGTCATCCTTTACAATGCACTGAATGGAAACGATTGGGTTGAAGGAAAGGAAACTGACACATTTTAGCTTGAAAGTAAACAGATAACAGTTATTTAATATACTTCAATCCATTGGTAGGCTAAATCAAGGAAGTTTTAACAATTTTTTAAGATTAATTATATCATTCCTGCCTCCTTTTCTTTGCTCCAAACTCTCCCATATATCCTTATTCTCTTTCAACTTCATGGCCTCTTTTTCTTCCATTGTTGCTGTGTGTGTGCGTATGTGTATAATACTCCTAAATGCATAATACAACTTGTTCAGTCTGCATGATCTTTATTGTACACACACACACACACACACACACACACACACACACACACGCGCGCGCGTACAGGCTTTGGAAGTTTTTAAAAGCACATACTAAAAGGAATTAAGGTTTTCACTTAAATGTAATTGCATATGTATTAATATATTAACATAAAATAATATATGCTTCTCTATCTACAGAAGTTTTCTCAAATCTAAAACCAATGCTGTCATATTTTATTTGCATCGTATCTCTCACATTCTAACCTATCAATAATCCCAACTTTCAAAAGATGAACTGTATAGATTTTGATCATACCCTATATAAACCCATAGTTTCTGAACTTATTTATTCATCAATACTTACTGAACATATTTGGCAACCTAAGTGCTGTGGTAATTACCATAGACTACATATGATGAATGATTGGCAAGATTTGTAACAACGCATTTACCCTGTTAAATAAATTATTTTAATACTATAAAATATAAACAGTGTACTGTCAGGTCAGAGAAAAGCTATGGACACTGTCCAGGAGGATGTGAAGTGGCTTCTTCAGTGTTATTCTTGCCACTAAGCAAAGAGAAAAGAAAATCCCATGCTTGGTATGATATTAATTTCCTTTTCTACTTAAATATGAGGCTTTTGGTTACCATGACACACACACAATGGTTGTGGGTATAAATAAACACAGGCACAAAGATCATTTTAGTAAGTTTTTCCAAATTGGCAAGGATATATGCAGTCACAGCTAACCTTCAATAATTACAAACAGGGAGGAGGCACTGGGATGGATGACATTTGGAAGGCATTCTGATTTTGTCTTGACTTAATCTTCGGTACTAATTAAACAGCTCTGCATTTCAGAAAAAAAATGTTAAGTACATAGCATCAATATTGCCTGTGAGGTAATAGTTACCTTTTCCAAGTGAAACCAATATATTTTAATGCTTCTTCAGCTAAACAATCAAGAACATAGCATACATGTTCTCCATAACCAGACTTTAGTTTTGAAGGAGGAAAATCTGCAGTCCTCCCCTGAAAAGATAAAGATATTATTTGTTAGGTATAGTCCAGATGTCAAGATTGTTTCAGCCAAGAATCACTGAGCACATGCATATTTTTTCTAGTTTTCAAATGACTTAAGAAAAAGGTAATTGCTTTGCCTCTTAGACAGTCTTTTCTTAAGTCTCTTCAATCCATTGATACAGTTACACAAAGGAAAATACAGATATTTTATTGTTCAAAGTACCAACTTAAAAGGCAGTTATATCATAGCAGGAAGACAAATCATCAGTACAAAAAACCCAGTAAAACTACTCACATGGTAAAATATATTTTCTAAACAAGGATCCAGTGACTCATTTATTAAAATTTAGCAACCTGTGTCAAAAATGTCTTATTGCCTTTCCCCAGGAAAAGTCAGAAATGAAAGTATAAATGAGAACTCCTAATAAATCCAAGATCCTTTCAAACTGCAGGGTTTGGCTTTGTTTGTCTTAATGTCCCTTTGAGGGGAAGGACTAACCAATCACCCCTAACTGTTCATTTTTGAGAACTAACAAAATTAAGACAAATATTACTCTGGGCTAAAGAGAGTCTATAATAACATTTTTAGAAGTGGTGTTCATATTATATATACTATCAACCATTCTGAGAATGTCTGGCTTTAAAATAAATTCAGCCAACTATTGTCTGTCTGTCTGTCTGTCTGTCTGTCTGTCTGCCTGCCTGCCTGCCTGCCTATCTGTCATTCCAGAAGTCATCTAAAAGGCTAGGGTCTGTTACTGAATTGCTAACATTGAAGTCATAGCTTAATAATACTTACAAATGAGCGAAGCTCGGAGAGTATGTTAGATATAGTTGCATTGGGATCGTCGTATTCTTGAGGCTGCTCAAAGGTACGCCCTGTTTTGTTGATCAGCCAAGCAGCAAGAGTGCAAAACATGTAGAACTGCTCACCTGGGTTGGTAGGCAGAGCAAAGTAGTGTCTGTTTCAAAGCAAGGGAGAATGGGAAGGGAGAAAGGGAGAGATAAAGCAAATCAGCTAGGAGTAAGTAACACAGTCAAGTCCACAGTTGCTAAATATGCCCCCAAGCAGCCTTCACCAACACTCTGGAACTATCTAGAGATTTGCAGCACTCACAAAATTTTCAATCAGTCACTACTGTATACAAAGTACACAACCAGGGAATGGAAGGAAGTATATTTTGGAAAATAAATACATGATGCTTTTGTAGAACTTGATTAATTGCTTGCTTATAAGTGAATTTCCCCTAAAAAAAAAAAAAAGGTAATTCTGAATTATGAGACTCCTGGAATTTAAGAAGCACTAATAATTTACCATGTTTTTGCTGTTTGTAACCTATCAGCTATGTCAAACAGCTGTTTCCATATTTTCTGTATATTCAAACCAGTTCCTAAAAGTACTACTAGATGGCGAAAGCCTGGGCTTCCCCCATTCATGGATAATCACAACTTGTGGGAACAGAACACATCACAAGTGCATTTCAAAAGTTCCCAACTTAGATGGTCCAGGGGTGCAGCAAGAACTAAGAACCTCTGCACATCCCCCAGGATCACAACTGCTGAATTTTGCTAAACCCCTTATTATACTAAATATCCTCCAATGAGGATATGATTTATACAGAGCCATAGAGGGCATAAAAGGTCTAAGTAACATCACTCAAGAAAGTTGAATCAGAGATCTGCTTTGCTTTCTTTGCGCTATCACTATTACACAGATTATGTGTATATACATATTCAATTATGACATAGGAATCAGTGGTCTATACTTCTATTTTCTATCAAGAAAATATAAATGTTCTAGAAGAAAATAGAAATCGAGGAAATTTTAAAGGGTTATGAAGTCTTTTCAGGCATAGGCTTATAAAGGATCTCTCCACCAACAACTGTGTTTTCTTTATCAATGGGCACTCCTCACCGACAGAGGAATGAACAGTGACACAGGGGCCTGTGAAGGTGGTTCTCAAGCACGAGGTACATCAGAATCACCCAGAGGGGTTGGTGAAACACTTTGTTTCCAGAACTCTGAAAAAGCAGACCTGGACAAGGGCCTCCATTCCCAGGTGATGCTGACACCTTGAACCACTGGCTAGAATACATCCACACAAATCCATGGCACGAAGTGTCTCACTCACCCTTTGAGATTTAGTACAGCAAGATATTAATAATAGCATAGGCCAGTTTCCTTTTGTTTGACAAATGCATTTGAAAAAAATTAACAGTTTTAAGAACACCTAAAGTGTTGGCCATCTGTGTTATTATCATCAATTCATTTTAAATAATAATCCAATCCTAAAACTTCTAATCATGGATCAGGATCAAGATGAACTTTCTTCTCTAACTTTTCTCCTTTTACAGACTAACTCTGTGTTATGGACAGTTTGCATAAAAGCCTAAGTATCTTTCAACATGAGTGTCTGGAAGATGACAAGAACTGAAAACTGTCAAGAGAATTTATTTGAGCCTACCTGTAGACAGTAAAAGAAAGCACCCTTGACAATTCTTTTTATTTGCTTCTAACAGAACAAAACAAATAAATACCAACAATAAAGGAACAGCAATAAATCACAGTTATCACCAAGGTATCATGAATACATGAGAGGGTGCTGTCTCTCACTTCAGGCAACTAATGGCTCTGACTTCCTGATATTCCCGAACATTTTTCCATCAAGCACCGGGTCGTTAGGTTCTATATGAGAACACTTTTCATTTTCATTGCCTTCTCCACTTTCCAGTTTCTAAGAGTACTGTTGCTGCAAAAGCATTAAGACTTTTGAACCATCGCAACTAGTCTACATGTTTTGCTCCTCAGGAGGCCTGAAGTACACAGTTGTTCGTTTAGAAAGTCTAGCAAAGGAAAACAAAAACTGCAAAGAGATCTCAATGATAATGGCATTAATAGATCAGTTTTTCTATCGCGTTTACCTTTTACTATGGGTGTTTTATTACCTTTAAAATAAGATTTGTGTTTGGTTGAGGTGCTTAACTGTTTTAAAGAACGGGTAGGCTGTCTTCCCCGGGCCTCCCTGCCATTACAAAACTTGTTTACTTTCTCCACAAAATGACCAAGTCTGAAAACTTCACCTTCCTCTGTGCACAAGTTCTCTTCCTGGGCAAGGAAGACACAGGAAGGCAATGTGCGGATCAGAACTCAGGGTCTTCTCCTCTAGAGAAGTGCGTCCCCTTGGGCCCAGCCAGCACCGGGCGCCGGGGACAAGACACGCACCTGGACGGGGGCTTCAGATTGCTCTTTCGGAGGAGCTCTTCCTCGTAGCGGAGCAGTTTCAGCTTCTCCACCAGGTCCTCCATCACCACGAACATGTGGTAGGCCGCGCCGGGCCCGCGCTCCACCACCGCCTCCCCTGCGCCTTCCCCGCGAGCCCGAGACACCCCATCCTCCAAGCCCGTCGGCGGGATCACTGCTGCCGCCGCAGCTATCGCAGCTCAGACCCACAGAGCCCGGCGTGGGCTCGGGCCAGGATCTCCGCGGCCTCAGCCGCCAGCACCGCGTAGCCCACACAGCCGCCACCGTTACCTGGCGACCGCAGGGCCGCCGGTCACCACGGCAACCACACCCCGCCTCCTTCGCGCCCAGACGGCCCCTCTAAATTCTGGCCAACCAGAGCTGGATTCCTAACTGACGTCACGCTATCCCCGCCCCCAGGCTGGGAGGTAGACCCGCCCAATAGGCGTGGCGACCCTTCCCCAGCCTCTCTGGCAACTCTCTCCCTCGCGCCTTAAAGGCGAAGGATTGGCGGCTGTTTGGCTCTGCAAACCTAGTGCAGCCTAGAGAAGAGCAGGATCTGGTTGTTTGCTCGGGGCTGGTGAATGTCTGGTCACCTGGGTAGCAATTCAAAGGACTGAAATGAAGCGGAACACAGTGCTGGAGGCTACTCTCCCACTGATCCTTAGTTTTCGTAGTAGTTGTGAAACTCGCTGTCATTAGTTTCAAGGTACCTCGGAAATTCCAACCACAAGACTGCTTTCTCTATTTCTTAACTTAATAGTTTGTTAGGTAGTGCTAGATTGAATAGAGTATTCTAAATAAGGCTTGAGGTCTTACTATGACCCTGTCTTCAATGGAGAAAGTGGTTGATTGAAAGAGGGTGGCGGGGGGAGGGGCACGTGGAAGTTGAAGTGGTAAGAATGGGTTTGGGGAAGTATTTGTGCCACCCTCACATCCTGCCTCTTAATCTGTTTCAAACCTATGCAGACGTAAATTCGTGAGTAGAAGCGCAATCCAACAAAACGCACTATTTGGAAAGGAACGTCTGTGTGACAGCGCTTATGGTTGATAAGGGCATTTTTGCTGTTATGTCTTCAGGTATTGACCTAGAAAATACAAAGGAGATGTAACTGACCACTAGTGTAAGTTATTCTTACAATGCTAAGAAAATAGCCCATCAGGCAGTTTTACTAACAGTTAAAATAAGAAGCGAAGCCAAGTAGCTGCTCAGCCACTTCTTAAAAGATAACTCAGAAGCAAGAGGTCAAACATTTGTTAGTTTAATCCTGTGGCTGTCAAGGCATCATTACATCTTGTATGACTCTCTAAAGAATGTAGAAGAATCACATTTTTTTCCATAACTAAAATCTGAAATGCATTTGTAAAATGCATTGTGATAAAACAAAGAATACACTTTTCCTTCTAATCTGATCTAATCAGCGTTGCTTCTAATTCTAATAGAGGTATCCAAGTGAAAAATGATTCTGTTCATTGGGTAAAAGACTCACATAGAACTACTGATTCATGTAGAAAATAAACTAAAGGGAAGAAATCCACAGATAACTGGATAATTGCATTTCTTTAAATCTTGTATCTGTGTGTGTGTGTGTGTGTGTGTGTGTGTGTATGTGTGCAATGAATGTGCATGAATGTTCATGTGTGTGGGGGGGAGTATGCAAATGCAAATATTCACTTGTGGAGGTCAGTGGACAACCTTCAGTATCAGTCGTCAACACTACTTTGTTGCTTGTTAGGCATATGCCACGATAACTGGCCCGTAAGCATCTACAGAATTCTACCATTTCTGCCTCTCATATTGTTGAACTACAGGCCAACACTATAGTGCCCATCTTTCTATAAGTTCTGGGGATCTGAACTTAGGTCTACACACCTGCAGCACAGTGTTTACCCACTAAGCCATATCCACAGCCTAAGAATTGCTTTTTAAATAACATTGTTTATAGGTCATAAGCCAGTGGCTAATTAGTCTTTCATTTTCTTAGCTATCATACAACAGTGAATACCCCAGACACACCCACATCCAGTGACCACATGTGGAAGTTTGAGAGGATTAGAAGATGGATGTGAAGCTTTTTTGGAATAAAATAAGAGCTACAATTATTTAGATATATGTTTGGGGGGTATTTCATTAACCAACGAGCAGCCAATGGCTTTTAAATGATTCTTTAAATAGAAAAATGAGTGGCTCACACTCAAGGGCTCACTGGGAACATGCTGCCTACATAAGATGTTCTGACACAGAAGCTTGGAAGGTTATACAGTGGAGTAGGAAACCATCAAACATTGCTTTCTGACTGACTTTTCAATAATGGATGTATTTTTACCTGGGGGGAAATAATACCTTTTCCATAATCCAGCCATTTCCTTCCCTGACTTGGCCTGGTTTGTAAGCAGGTAAAGAATTAGTTTTCCATTGTAAATACAAAAAAAGAAAGAAAGAATGAAAGAAAGACTGAAGTATAAACTATCCCCAATAATTATGGCACATAAAAAAAGAGAGAAAATCCAATTTTTCAATGCATAATGGGTTTCCACAGGGGAAAGATAGGAAAGAACACAGAAATATCATTCATCTTTAAAGGACCCAGATGTTTTCACATTTCCTTATTTTTCTGCTATAGTTGCCAACAACCAACAGACTTTTCCTTGATAGAATAGTTCCCTTCATATCTTCTTCCAGTTATCTCAGCCACTTGGAAGCTCCACACTCTATTTTTTAATATCTTTTTTTCTTGCAAGACTAACTCTCTCACTTAGGAGTTAGATAGAGCTTAAGGAGACCGGAATGTGGCATTGTGTGCATACTACCTACAAAGACTTAACCTGGCTCCCTCTTGACCGCTATTTGCAGCAGGCTTCAGATGATTTTATTTCTTACAAGTCATCTCTGAAATGATTGGAAGTAGTTCATAAGACTTTTTAAAACCTTTACATGTCTGTATGCAAGCTAATCTCTGAAAACTAACCAGAATCCCAGCCAAAGCTGGCTTAAGCTAAATGGATTTCCCTGAAAGGTACTTAGCAAACCTGATAGTAAAAAACTTCAAAGATGGAGGGAGGCTTTCTTGATGAGCCTCCCAATACAGGGAATAAGTCTTGTGAGATTGGGAAGGCTTAAAAAAAACCAATTTCTTTGTTAAGTTGGTCTGTTGGGAGGGTTTTGAGTCCTGAAAAAAAGCTCCCCTGACTGTAGTAATGGTCTTATCATGGGCATAGATTAGCTATAGTGGGAATTTGATCTGTTTTCTCTCCTTGCACATGCTCTGTTTGACTTCTGCCTTCTGCCATGAGTTGGCAAAAAATGAGACCATCACAAGAATCTATTAAATAGTTGTTCCATCTTTCTGGATGTCCCAGACTCCACAATCATGACCCAAATGTATCCTTATATCTTTATAAATTTCTGAATCTCAGCTACTCTGTTAGAGCAACAGAGACCAACTAAAACACCATATTTCGTTCATAATAAATTCAGTACCACCCATTGGGGATGCTAAAATGTCAGAAAAACACTAATCAAATAAAATGTCTTTGAAAATAAAACTATAAGGCTGAAAATCTTTCCTTCCTTTCTTTCTTTCCTGCTCCTCCTTCTCCTGCTATTTTTCCTTTGGCTCCCTTAGGTTCCATGATTAAGCCTGTGAATTAAATTATACACTAATAGTTTAACAGAAGAAAAGTGCCTGAATTTTATTTAATAGCATCTAGCATCACATGCACATGGAGTCCTGCTTAGAAAAAAAGCAGTTAAGATCAAAAGTATATATTCTCCCTGATTTCTTTTGTTAAAACAAAGAATGATACATTTGTAGCAAGGTGGAAAGACAAAGGAAAATGAATTCAAGCTTTGCAGAGTGATAAACTGTAGGGAAAATGGCTAGGAAATGTGTGTTTAAAACCAATGGAAGATAAAGGTTATTTTAATAGGCTTATCTATACACACTCATTCCAGCACCAACTTCTAATGTCCAGTAATAAAAGTATCATTCTCCTCTTAGTACAGAAAAGGAATCTTTCTCATGGGAAACCTCAGATCTGCTTTTAACTAGTAATTACGGTCAGAGGGAGAGCTTATGTCTGATAGTTTACAAGTGCCACCCACTCAAATCAATCAATATGCAACACCAGTATCTGGGCAGAAAAATTTAAATTCCTTCAGTGTGGTAAGTGCTGTGAAAAGAAGGTCGTATTCAAATGTGATCGCTAGAATGATTCTCCCTAAGCAAGATGAAAACACATAGGCAATGCACTGTGAACTACAGCTGGACCTTTGGGCGATGTAAGCAAAGGAATCCAAAGAGTCTAGGAAGAAACTACTGGGGGAGCTCAGGCTTTTCCACCTATCAAAGCCAAACTAAAGATAATTTCCTGGAGATGGAGAAACAAACAATAAAGTCAGTTCCAAATACTTGTAAGTCTGGAAATAAGCCTGTCACTTTATGGAGAAAAAAATTGTTAAACCTCACTGAAATATAACTACATAATACAGTTTTCACCAATGAGAAAAATCAGTATCATTGCCAAGTTTATAAATGCCATGTCATTCAAAGACTTCTGATCCAGTGGTTTACACATGAAAGTATACTTTACAGAGATAAAAGGATGGGATTACAATAGAATAATCCAAGGTGCCTAATAGACCTGATGTTTCTTATTACAGGGGTAATTAGGAAATAGCCTGGGAATAGATGTGGCTTTTCATGGAAATTCAGTACACTGAAAAGGTGGGAAAGATGAACTAGTCACAAATTGGTAAGGAGCGATGGGCTATCCATATAGAAACAATCACATTTTTGATTACCATCATTTAAATACCACTTGTATTGAAGACACCACTGTAAAGTATGTTTGATGTATTTAGAGCAGTGGTTCTCAACCTTTGGGCCATGGCCCCCTTGGGAAACCTTTATCTCCAAAAATACTGGACATTACAATATGTAACAGTAGCAACAGTAATGTTAGACCCCCCTGGAAAACTCAGGCCTCTGGGGTCTCAGCCCAGGACCGCAGTCACCCCAATGACCAGGCGGATTCAAAAGCTTGCTGCAAACTGCATGAGACTTTATTGTTGTTTAACGAGCTAACCCTCTGTTAGCTAGGGTCTTTCACCCACCCGCCATGGTAGATGGCTAGCAAAGATGGCTGGAACCGGCTGCAGAGAGATCTTGTAGGGCAGAGTAAGGGGAGTGTCTAGGGGTATGCACAGGCTCAGGATTGGTGTGCTTCCAGACTTGGAGGGCTTGCCCTGTGTTGATTGGCCAACTGGTTGTTATGGCCCATAGGCCCTCCCAGGGTGGTTGCTATGCTCTTCCAGTCATTGCTGTGC